CCATTCACTTTAATTTCTTGACAAGGAGAATGATGTTTTCTTATATATTGAACTTCACATTAGAAATTTTATTAGTATAATTAGTTATTTAAGAGTTATTAAAATTGCATATTTATTTCAATTGCCTATTAGTGATAGATAAGCAATTTGAACTATATTGTTGTGATTAAATATTGATTTTCTAAAATTTTAGTTTGTAGCCTCTAATATTACTCCCCGTGGGATCGATATCCAGGACTCCATTAGAGCCCTGTATTACTTGAGCGATACGTATACTTGCGTTGATAAGTGTGACTTACAATTATTGAATATTTTATGCACCTCTTTATCGAATCTATAACCACTATCAAGTTTTTGGCGTCGTTGCCGGGGAATTAAATCTTCTAGCAACAATATCAAATTCTTGTAATTTTAAGCATATATAAAGTCGCTGTCAATGACCATCTTCAACAGCGAGAGGATCTACAACAACATATCTTTTTTTAGAATTAAACAACAAGTCATATGATTTTGAGGTTGTTTGCTTATGCAACATAAATCCTCAACTTATCTTTAAGCCTTTGTACAACTCTGTTGTACAATCTAAACCCTAACTTGTCTTAGGATTCCGAGGTATCGTTCATCACGACCTAAATCCTCACATCTTCCAGGCTATTTGTGTGATTGTTTCACATAAGTGTAAGCTCTAAACAAATAAAATTGGCAGGATAAAATATTTAAATATTTCTCCTCAAAATTGAAACCAAACATTCAGATAAACTGGGAAGTCATCGAGGTTCTCCTTCGGATCTATGACATCCCCTAGTTCATCCTTCTTTTAGATTCTACAAAAAAATGTTCTAAGCTTGAGTCATTCCACTTTCACACCTTTTTGTCTGATGTCGTTGAAAAATTCTATTCTTTGACCTCTTTGGAGATAATATTTCCTGATTTTTATCGAGAGATTTCTTAGGTGACTTCGATTATCTAAGATGTAATTAACTATAGGGGCTTGCCCTAATAAAAAGCTTTTTCGAACCCAACTTAATATAAACCCTATTTAATTCTTCATATTAAATTGGGGAACTTATCGGCAAATAAAATAATTTCGCAGACCAAACAGATGTCATATATTCCTAAGTTTATTTGATCGAGTCTCACGCTTAAGTCTTGTGTTTATCTTTCAGGATATATACATGATTTGAGGTACAATGCTCTTTCATTTGAACTATAAATGATAAGAGATCAGTTTGATTTCATATTTTTCTAAAAATATATGCCTTTCCGAAGCAGACTACGGGATTTCGATTCCGACGGCTGACAACTTCCAACGGGCAACTCCTCAACCAAAAATAGTGTCGACAGTGCAATGCAATGTCAATGATAACTTATATGTGATAAAATAAGGCTAATCAAGTTAACTCAAATCATTAGATCTACCTGATTTTAGCAGAGTGTGCGATGGTGTTTTGGACTAGATATTTTGCTCAACTAAGGTCTAATTTGCTTGCATTGATCATCTTCCTTAAGGGAGGGCCAACAATGTGTGTTAAGTTATGGTTTTATATTTCTCAATATAACCCACAATTATTGCACTATGTAGTTTAAAGATGACTTGCAATTCCGTCACTATATAATTTAAAAAGAGATGGTCACAAAAGTACTTGGAAGTTATAGAATTTGAAAGAAGCGACGTAAAGATTAAGAGATAGCAAGTTAAAAAAAGTTTAGAGTTACAAATTTTAAAGGAAAAGCATTATGAATCCAAACAAAGAAAGGAAAAAAGTTGTGTAAAAGAGTTCATACACTAGAATTGTGTAGTTATTAGCTAAGATTGGTAAAAAAAAAAAACATGAGTTTATTTTTTTCAAAAAATATGAGCCTCATTGTAATCAATGACAAATGTACCCTTCACAATCCGCTTACTCCTGAAGGATATCGTATTCTTTGTTCAAGTGTAGCGCCATGGAAATATTCAGTTCATCTCTCCATGGCCATCCTGCTATCTCTCTGCCATCCATCCATTTCTCCTCACCAGAACCATTCCCTTACCTCCCGGCTCGTGCCCCTTACGGCGGGCTTCTTCTGCTTGCCTTTCTCGCGGCGTGCGGCCATTCTCGAGATTGCTGCCGTGTCCCTATCCTTAACCTTACCGGCGTCTGCCATGGGCTCATCTTCACCGAATGCAGCCCTAGATGGAATCTCCAACACGAGATCCTGGTTTCAGTTCTTTGGCGATGGATTTTCCATCCGCATCCCTCCGTTCTTCGAAGACGTAATGGAGCCTGAGGTGAGACCTATCGGGGCAATGGGATCGGCATTGCTCTCCTTTCGTGTTGCTATCGTTGTCTTTTTTCGTTATTTGTTTATTTAATTTTTCTTTTTTAGGTTATGATGAGTATCTGTGCTCTTCATGAGGCATGTGTTAAATTACTTGACGTGGCTTTGCTTGAAAACTGTGGCTATCGAATTTCTGAGTTGAGATTTTTTTTATGAATCACCATTGATAGAAGTATGTCTTTGACTTTAATATTGTTCTATTTCAAGATTTTGATAGTTTTTTCTACATGCTCAGGCGGAGATAGAGCATCTGTTGTAAAGGCTGAAAGACCTTTTAATATAAAAGCTTGAGCTGTTTACTTGGATTCATAGTTGTGGTCAAAACTAATTTACTTTGTGCTTTTGGGTTCATACCTGCATGGAGGTAGGATTCCAATTGGTGGCTGCGTATTCATTCAGTAAAAGCTCCAAGGTTTATTTGTGAAGAAACAAGAGATTTGTTTTGTTCAAAAGACAGATCAATATTGTAATTGGATTCCCTCCCATTTCGGTATTATGGTTTGTTTAGATCTACGGTTCATGTTTTCTTATGGCCACTAGATTTAGTGATTAATTTTATTCAAAGATTGGGAGGATACTCTTGAGTAGGCAGATATCCTGGCTCCAGCTTTTGATTGCTTGTTCTATGACAAAGATTCTTATAATTTTTTATCCTAATGTGGTGCATTGTGCATGAGGATGGATGATAAACTCCATTAAGACCTATATTTTTATTGTTCAATGCTTTTTTATGTTGACCTTAAGCCAAAAAGTTAGGAAGCCTCGGCTGTGACAGAGTAGCTTTAATTTAAGGATCGCGAGGCTGCATCTACATGCATTAGGTCATGGTGCTTCTGACCATTTACATTGAGGAATTAAGCTTGTTAATAATTTTAAGGTGTAAGTTAGTGAGCATTGGTTATTATTGTTAGCGCCTTGTTAGCAATTATGGCTTACCTCATCCATGCAATTTTTTTAACAGTCAATGGTAAAGCTTTCTTGCTGTATAGATGTGATTTGCAAAAGTATTATCACTTTGTAGAGTGAAAAATGCTCCTTGGGGATGAGATTGGTTTTCCTTAGGGGGTTTTTTGGCTGCAAGCAGGTTTTAGCACTGGTAGAATTTAATAAATCCATAAATCATAAATCCAATGAATCCGCCCTACGCCTTGGTCTAGTAAATCTGGATTTAAGCTAATTCAAGATCATAATTTGGGACCCTAAATCCGAAAATTCATAAATCCACGTAACTCCTGCATTTTGGCGTTTGGCTGGGTTTAGTAAATCTAGTGCTAAATCCTATTAAAAATCGCTAGCAAACATTTGCTTATGGTAAATTTATGCTTGGGCATGTATTTTAGTATTGTAGATTTCATCATCTCCCATTGGGATGGTGATGTGCTCTAATATTAAATTTGATGTGCTCGGATACTAAAGTAATATGCCTTTGTTGAAGATCTTAAAAAAAATTGTTATCTTTCTTGCTTTTGAATTACCTTTAATTGTAAATTTTCTTCTTTAATAAACTCATTAGATGTGAGAGTGTTAAAGAGATAATTAGTGGAGAGAAGAAGGGTTGAGGTTTGGTAGAAGTGGGGATCTCGAGAACTCTTTGTTTCAACGAATGAGAATGGAAGGAGAGAAAAATGTTTGAGAGAGAAAACAAAGCAGAGGAGTAAAATGAAAAATCGCTTTCAAATTTAATACATATTAAGATAAAATTAATAATTCATTTGTTTCCCTATTTATAGAAATTGTGTTTCATGGATAAATGAAACTAATTCAAATTTCAGGAAAAGGTACTGTAATGAAAATAATAATTGAAGCAATAGTTTTTCATGATAATCGGATACATAAAAATAAAATGAAAGTGCTAACATAATCTAAATACAGTCTTGATGCATGCATTGTATCACATAAATTTTCTTAAGGCTGATAGATCCTCATACTAAAGAGTTAAGTCGGAGCACTTGCCAAGTAAGTCTAGTCTCCATGAAAGAGGTTGTGGTGGACTCAACTAATGGATTTTTCTTTAGTCAGTGACATCTATAATTTCAACGTAAGAATGGTGATCTAGAGGCATTTGATTCATATGCCACCATGCTTTATAGAACTTCATATGAGTATTGCAGCTTTATAACAATGGAAATAAAACTCAACATGCATGTTTACCGAGAAATATGGAAATTGATATTTTCAGGAGGGGGCTTTTTATAAAGAAAATTTTTTGCTTGCGGACTATTTTCCTTTTTTTTATACGGGGAATTTAGTAATTAATGGACCTAGGTGTTAATATGAGTGGTTTGCCTATAAATACCCCTTCTAATATGTTTGAAATTAGTTTTTAGCTTAGTTTCTGGCTCTTGAGAATTTGAGGGTAGATTCTCTATTTTTGGATAGGAGAGGTAGAAAGAAGATCTTAGTACAGACCAGGACTCAAAACCATCCCTTGTGCTCAAGATCAACCCAGTTGATTATTTTAAGAGCTGCTGAAAATGAGTGGCGTTCATTTCCAGCTGCAGGGAATTCTGGTTGGGCCGGATTGTAGGTTCAAGGACCCTTGAAGCGGTTGTCCAAGGACTGGAATTAGAAAGAATGATCTAAAGGAAGTTTTCTTGATTGAGTGGAAGGGTCCCTACATCGATTTGGCCATAAAACATTCACCATATCGTCAGTGAAGCCAAGGACCTGCACTGACGAGATTGCTGAATGAAACCAAGGAAGGGGAATATCCAGAAATTGGAAGAAAGCTCTTATCAAGCTGTGGTCTCGGTTAGATCAATTCAGACATTAAAGACTAACAAATTCATGAACTAATAAGATTTTTTCCCACCTTAGGTTCTCTGTTTAATTTATTATAATCTCTCAGTATTTGGGCATTGGCTACCTAATTTGCATTCCATGGCTTACAGGATAGATGGAAGAAATCCAGCCAAGCCGAGCTAGTTTTGGATGAGCTGCTCTTGGATAATAAGAAAACTCTTTAAGATTCAAGATGTTGAAGTGGGAATTGAAGCAAGGTTTATGGAAAGATCTCTTGAAGAAGCAGCTTACAATTTTGTACTAGAAAGTTTTTTCTATGAAAATGCTTAGCTTAGCGGTTAATTACTTTCTATGTTGTTTTTTAGTTTGAAAAGTCCTTGTCATATTTACTTAGGTGCCGTTTGGGATCAATTTTATCTTTTGTTTTATTTTTTGTTTTTCCTTTTGTTTTTAAAAACATATTTGTTTAGTGTTATTTTTTATATTTTTTAAAAACTCAAAATAACATTTTGAGTATTTTTAAAAACAATCATATTTTAATCAAATAATATTTTGTTTCAAATCAAAACATAAACTAAACAAAATAAATACAAAAACAAAAAAATAAAATACAGAAGTGATCTTAAACGTCAGCTTGGCTTCTCATTTTGGTTGTTAATTAGTTTCTTATAAAGTTATTGGTGACATTTAATATTGCAAAGGTTTAAGTCTGGTCTTCCTTTTTTCAATGTCAGAAACATTTCAAGGTTCTATGGAATAATTTACATGTACATTAATGAATCTGTTAGCAAAATCATCAATAAAAAAGCTTACTTACATTTTATCCCCATGTAAATTCAATAATAACATTTTTCAATAACCAAAAGCCTTGAACTTAAATGTTGTCTGCTAAAGTGGCGAACTAAATGCTTATGTATAAAAGATTTGGGAAATTTACATATATAGCACACAATTCTTATTTATTTACACATCTCAACCTAAAATTTTATATTTACATACATAGCACTTTGGTACTTTGAACCTATGCATGAAAATGTGTATTTCACTTTTAAAAAGTGGTAGCAGTGCTATTTTTGATAAGATATTAAAGATTTGAGTGCTATGTGTGTAATTATGAAAGTTTGGGTGTGAGATATGTAAATACATGAGAGTTGTGTGCCATGCATGTAAATGCCCAAAAGATTTTTATGGCAGACGGTAAAGTTTCCCACCCTATGCTAGTTATGTTTTTTGTTATCATATGTATTACAGCACTGCAGTAAATGTTCCCCTCTTTTCCTGTTCATTAGGACTTCAGTGCTGGACAAACATTTTATGGTGATAAGGCAAAACCTAAGATGTTTGCTGCTCGTTTTGCTTCTCCTGATAGGTCTGTGTTCATCATGGTTTCTACTCCAGTAAGTAGGGATAAAATTTTGATGTTATATTTGTAAAATTGCTATTGCTATTTACGATGAATACTGTATTTTTTTTTTTTTCGCTGAAGATTTTATGATATACATGTTTATTTTAAGATCATTGATACGTGATGATATGATAGAAAGTTTATTATGATTTATAAATCTTTCTTTACTGTCCCACCTTAGTTCTTCTACTGTTCCTTTAATTTCATGTTTTAATTCTAATTTCACATAATCAATGAAGCATTGATTCTGCTGGTTTATATGCATATCAAACTTTATTTTCTCTACTCTTTTTTATGGGTGACTGGTAGATTTTGAGATTGGTGATTGCTCAAAATCTGATCGAACATATATTAGCTTGGCACTCAACTTGGTTCAGTTTTGAACCAGTTTCAGTCTAAGCGGGAGCTTGATTAAATTTGAATTGAGCGAGACTGAAGTCAATTATTATTTAGTTTATTTATTATTTTATTTTTTGTATCCACATGTGTGTACACTTATATAAATATAAAGCTAGTTGTAGGCTGGCTTGATGCCATTTAGTTTTCACTTGAACTTGGTTCAAAGATAAGGTCTTCACAAAATTTAGCATGTTGAGCTCCGTTGGACATCAATCTAAATTTAAAATTTGTTTATTTTTCAATCTAAACTAATAACATTGTTTCTCATGTAATAAAGGAGCTTTAAGATATTATCAGGGGAGTCCTGCAAATTTTGTATCATTTCTCTAAAATATTAAACTAAATTATTGTAATTGCAAGCTAGAACATCATTGTATCATTATTTATCTGTGTGATTTCCAAATTATTCTTATAATTGTGTTATGAATCTGAATTATATTGGCAAGTACATGCATCCTTATTATGGATGCAATTATGACACTTGAAATTAGCAAATTTTATTTAAGTCTTTTCTTAAATTGAGCTGGTAAAAGCAGTTCTAGGATAATTCTTTAATTTGAAGGATTTATTTGGAATTAACTCAAGACCTTTTTTGATTCGAATATATGTGGACTACACTACCTCTAGTCTCCGTCCGTGCCTTTATGATCTTGTACGATTTTTCTTGTCCTATCTTTATTCTATTTCATTTTTTCAATTCCTTTATTATATTAGAAACCTTTCAAAATACATTCATGCTATTACCTTCACATCTAATATGCATTTCATATTTTTTTTTGTCAGATCAATCGGAGACTTATAATTGCAACAATTAACTGTCAATTTCTATAAAAATATTGTTAGTGTTGGAGCCTGCTACAGAAGTCCCGAACAGCGCCTACTCCCGATCGCGAACGGCGCCTACTCCTGATCGCGAACGGCGCCTACTCCCGTTCGTGAATCGACGCGATCCTTCCCGCCTCCGCCTCTCCCATATTCGCGAAACTCCCGTCTCTCGCGCACGCGAACAGTCGCGCCTCTGTTTCGCGCGCGAAGCTCGCGACCCTTCGCCTGAAACCGCTCCCGCCTCCTCTATTTCGCGAAGCGAAGCGAAGCATCCCTTCGCTTCCTTTCTCTTTGTGATAAAAAAAGAGGCTCTCCTTGGGATCTTGTGGATACGAAGTCACGATGTTCTTCTTTGGTTTTCTTCGGGATAGAGAAAAGTTTCCTCGGCAGAGGAAGAGAAGTGCAAGAAGTAATTTCTTGGGGCAGAAGGAAGAAGAAAGAAGAAGATTGTTCTCTCTAGGCCTCTTCGTGGTGGCTTGTGACAGAAGAGAAATTGAGTTTATTTGTCCAATTTCTCTTGTACGTGTTTCTTATTCGGTGTATCTCTGTGTAGAGAGAGAAGAACAAAGAGAGCAACGAAGAGTGAGAGATTCCTCTTGTAAGTCGAGGTGATCGACTGGTGTAAATGCTTCAATTAGTAAAATCCTTTGCAACTCCGTGGATGTAGTCAATTTGCCGAACCACGTAAATCTGTGTAAATGTGTGTTCTTTTGGTGTGAATTTTCTCGTGTTATTTTATTCGCTTCGTCGTCGATCGTTTTAAATTTCATATACACCACAACAAATATGACAGTTAAGAAATTATTTAAAATATCTTAAGCTGTATAAAGCAAGTAATAAAATGCTAAAATAAAAATGTATCTTAAAGGATGCTAATAACTCCAAAATCAATTCTTAGAATACATGAGATAAAAGAAAATTAAAAGGTGCCAAGCAACACAAATTTGATATGTTTATATGGACGACCAAGCATTTTAAAGAAAATTGACCAAAATGAATCAAATATTATTCATGATAAATTATGCACTTTCAAACTTGACAAGATACCTACATGTATCGCTTAGATTGAAAAGGAAAGTTTTATTAGACGGTGGTGAGACCTGTAATGCTCTATGGCGCTGAATGTTGGCCTTTAAAAGAGAAGCATAATAATAAGTTGTGTTGCCGAGATGAGAATGATTAGGTGGATGAGTGGCTTTACACTTATAGACAAAATGCGAAATGAATATTTGTGATAGGGTTGGTGTAGCTCCTGTGACGGACAAAATTAGAGAAATTCGTCTTAGATGGTTTGGTCACATTAAACATCGACCATCTGATGATCCGATTAGGAGAGCAGATGTTTTAGATTCGACTTGTGTTAAGAAAGGCACAGGTAGACCTAGGAAGACTTGGGCTTATTGTATTAAAAATGATCTTAATTTACTAGAACTAAATGAAAATATGACACTAAATAGGACGCAATGGAGAAAAATGATTCATGTAGCCGACCCCACGCAGTGGGATTAAGGTTTTGTTGTTGTTGTTGTTGTTGTAAACTTGACAAGATACCATATTTCTTTATGGCATTCATTATCAACCAAATAATTGAAATGTGATTTTTTTTTTGAACTTTTGCTTTAAAAAAACTCTAGACTTAAAAAAGAAGGTCAATCATTGTTTAATCACTCATCATAGAATAATATCAACAAATAATGCCTTAAGGATCACCTTATCAAATTGCTCGATTACTTTATCAAATATTTTAGCCATGAATTGTTAAGCTTCGTCTTTAGTGATACATGTAATTTCTATTAGAAGCTTAGGTTTACATTTATGAATTCATTCTGATTCTAATTGTAGTTTTTAAATTTAATTTTCAATTCAGGTTTTATTAAAAAATAATCTTATATATAAATTTCCACCCTTTTTTTAGAGCAAGAGCCCAAAATAGTCCCCTGACTTTTAAGAAGTGACCAATTCAGTCCTTGAGTTTTAAAGTGCTCCGTATTAGTCATAGATTATTAAAAATTGATCCAAATTGGTCCCTAGGCCATATTTCATTGTTAAAGTTAAAATCAATCGTTTAACTTAAAAGGTATTTTAGGAATAAAATTTTATTTTTATTATTAATCTATTTTCATTTGTAATAAATTATTTAAATTTATGAATGAGGATAAATTTTTATTTTATAAAGTAAATAATTATGTTCACATTGTCGTGATTAATTGTTTAGTGAACTAATTAATAACTAATAAAATTTATTAAATGAATTATAATTTAATATATTTTTTTATTAATTAATTATTAAATAGTTATATTTATATTTATCTAATTATAATTATTTTTTATAACAAATCAATTAATTAAATTAATGAAAATCAACTTAATTGAAAACCGCTTAAAACCCCTCATCTAAGTTCCGTCTCTCCCTCTCCCGGGTTCAGTTAAAACCATTGCCTTTGTGACCGAACACACAATATAGTTTCGATCATAGCTAGCTAAGAAGGTAACGACGGGATTTTGGTGTATGATGACCTCCGAAACTCTCATCTTCCTCATCTTGCTCTGCTCCTACCTTAAACCAAAGTACCCTCGTCTTTCTCTCCCTTTGTCCCACCCACCTTCTCGCGCTTCAACTTCTTTGAATCCAGTAAATCCATCTTCTAACCGGATTTAGAAAATCCTAGATTTAAGGCAAAACAGGGAAAAATGAGATTTAGATTTTTTTATTTGACTTTACCTCAATTAGCCTTGCAACATCATTGAATTAAACGAGAAATTTGATACATGATTAATTTAGATGGATTTTCAATAGTTTGGGATTATTATGCAGCACTTTACAACTCCGAGATTAAATTGGTCAATTGTTGAAACTCGGGAGACTATTTTGGGTTTTTTCTCCTTTTTTTTTAATAGGTTTAGGTCCTTTTTGGGAGTTGATTCAATCTCTCATAGATTGAAGTTTAGATATGATTTCATATTCAATTTTGATTTCACATTCAAATTTTGACACTTGCTCATGTATAGCTAGTGTTCATTTATAGGTTATAATTTAGGTGCAAATTCAGATTTAATAACATCAAATATTTATTCGTACCATAGGAAAAATCATCTTTTGCATATAATGCATTTTGAAAAGAATATTCATTAACTAATATTTTTCTGATAAGATTAATGTTAATAATGTGTGATTTTTTATTTTTTTTATTTTTGATAAGATTTAAATAAAGTGTTTATTTTTGTTTTGGGACTTTAATTTCAACTGCAATTGCCTTGACATAATGATTGTAACATACCACAATATTCAAATAATTCGATTACGCCTCCAATGGCATTTTTGATGAGTTATAGCTTAATTTATTTCTAATCTCTCACTTAGACCTTTTGATTAAATATATTGTGCTAACAAAAGGTTTAGTTGGTAATAATATATAGCTACAAGATGTGCAAACCTTGCACAATATTCAAATACCTCATATTCACTTTGTTTATAATGCTTAAAATGTCCATTTAGCTGCTCTATTTATTCTCAAAATGATAAAAATTTCTGCTCAGGATTATTTAACATATTTGCTCATGGTGATTTTATTTTTCTTGTAGCACTTCGCTGAAATAATTGTCTCGCTAATTTCATTTTATTAATTTCAACACTATCGAAATAAAAAAAATATAGCATTCAAAGAATCTTCTAAATTGCCTATCCAACTTGAAAATTTCTAAGGCTATGCCTCCCGTCAGAAGTAGGAATTTTACATCATGATAGTTACATTGTAATTGTTTAAACACAGCTTATTTGATCTCTTTTAACTTGCTTCGTTTTTTTTAGTTGACCCAACTTGAAAATTTTTCTTGGCATAATGCTATGACCATAGGCTTTGATACAAAATTTGATGCGGGAAGTTTTTGGGTTTAAGATTTTCCTAATTCAATTCTATGATGGAATATAAGATCATACAGAGAAGTTTAAAATTTATGCTTTGCCAACCTTTTTTTATGCAAAAAATTCATTCTTTTGATGTGAATCAGAATGTATATCAAACTCACTCCGTATGATAATTTAAAATCATCCAAAACTGCAATTTTGAAAGAAAAAAAGAGGGATAAAAATTAATAATTCACCAAAATGTTTATCTTGGTCTTATGCTATTACAAAGAGAGAGATTTCGCTAATTATTTTTTTGAAGGCTTGCTCTGTTGAAGAAAATTCACATCAAATCAATACACCTAATTTTTTGAATAATTGAATGAGTTTTACATGTTTAGAGCCCCTTATTTGTAAACAGAATTAAACCAACAACTGGAAGTTTTCCAAAGCCGTAGAACATGGAATAAATACAGAACGATATCAAGTTCACTGTTTAAATTTCGGTAAAATAATGAGTTTTGGATCTCTGCTAGATTGAAAAATTGTAAATGATGTACATTGAAATATAAGGATTAGTAGTAACGATGTAGTGATTTTCACGAAATCAGGGAACCAATAAGAACCATTTTGTTGGAGACTCAAACCAACATCAACATGTTCTCAATATGTTCATCATTTTACACATGCTTATAACAAAATTAAAATATGTACTATGGAATTAACTAAAGAAACTGAAAGCTCAAAGAACAAGGTTCTCACTTTCATTGTTCGTATCCTGATAATATGCGTTTGGCTTGTTTTCTTACTAATTTTGTTCCCATGTGTTATTGTTTAATCATCTAAAATATTTGGAGCACACGAAAGCATTTATTTACCATGTGGTTATATGAACTTTGTTCAATGTGCATTTGTCGGAACATTTTGTGATAAAATTGTGTTTACGTTGATGCAGATCTGAAGTTTTGACTGTGGTGATTCGGCCATCTAATCAACTGAAGATAACTTTTCTAGAGGTATTTAATTTTTTTTGTTTATTGAGTATGATAGCCTTTATGTTTGCTTTTCTTTCTATTGTCTTAACTTGCTTGTGCTCATGGAAAAAGTTTTTTAAAAAATTGAATAATTAGGATTAAGATATGAGGTTCATAGAAACAAGGAATGTTCCTTTTATATATATATAT